TTCCGAATGTCGGAATCGAACACTGTTAGACATGGTTCGATCCATGATGGGGTTCACCGAGCTACCGGCATACCTGTGGGGTCATGCACTCCTAACTGCCGTGTATTTGCTGAATAGGGTTAATACCAAAGCAGTTGACTCCACACCTTATGAACTTTGGCACTCCAAGAAACCCACGTTTAAACATATTAGGATATGGGGTTGTCCCGCTTACGTGAAGCAGCTAGTGGGAGATAAGTTGGATACAAAATCCGACCTATGCTATTTTGTGGGGTATCCCGAGGATTCGATGGGATACGAATTCTACTATGTTTCCGAGGCAAAAGTGTTCGTCTCGAGAAATGCCGTGTTCCTTGAGAAGGAATTTCTATCGGATAGAAAGGGCAGTGTAGTTGATCTCGAAGAAGTTCGAGAACCACAATCTGAAGTTCAAGCACAGCAATCAGATAATGAACCAATTCAACGAACCACTAACATACCTCCTGAACCGTCGCTGCGTAGATCCGAAAGAGTTCGGAGAGCACCCGATAGGTTATTCCTCGTTGATGAAGTTGACCAAGGATGTGATCCTAGAACTTTCAATGAAGCTGTATCGGATACAGACAAGGGACATTGGCTTAATGCCATGAAATCCGAAATGGACTCTATGTACTCCAACAAGGTATGGACCTTGGTAGATCCACCCGAGAGAATTGTTCCCATAGGCTGCAAGTGGATCTATAAGAAGAAAATTGGAGTAGATGGAAAGGTATCGACCTACAAGGCTAGATTGGTAGCGAAGGGTTATACTCAAAAGCAAGGAGTTGACTATGAGGAAACCTTCTCTCCAGTTGCTATGCTTAAGTCCATTAGGATTTTGCTGGCCATCTCTGCGTGGTATGACTACGAGATATGGCAAATGGATGTGAAGACCGCTTTCCTTAATGGGGATATTGAGGAAGAAATTTACATGGCGCAGCCGGAAGGCTTCATATCTTCAGGAGATGAGCAAAAGGTTTGCAAACTCCAGCGATCCATTTATGGATTGAAACAAGCATCCCGTAGTTGGAACAAAAGGTTCGACACAACTATCAAAGAGTTTGAATTTGTGAAAAACCCGGAGGAACCTTGTGTCTACAAGAAGGTTAGTGGGAGTGCAGTGACTTTCCTTGTACTTTATGTTGATGACATACTACTCATTGGGAATGATGTAGGGATGTTGCAGTCGACTTAAGTATGGTTATCCACACGTTTCTCGATGAAGGATTTGGGAGAAGCATCCTACGTATTAGGAATACGGATCTATAGAGATAGATCGAGGAGATTGCTTGGCTTGTCCCAATCCATGTACATAGACACCGTTCTTAAACGGTTTAGCATGGAAGAATCCAAGAAGGGATTCTTGCCAATGTCCCATGGGGTTCGTCTCTCGAAATCCATGCGTCCTCAAACGCAAATGGAAATCGAGGAGATGAAAAGGACACCTTATGCATCCGCTATAGGAAGCATAATGTATGGCATGCTGTGTACACGACCTGATATTGCGTATGCTGTGAGCGTCACAAGCAGATATCAGTCCGACCCCGGCCCAGCCCATTGGAAGGCTGTGAAGGACATTCTCAAGTACTTGCGAAGAACTCGAGATTTGTTTTTGGTCTATGGGGATACCGAGTTGAAAATAGACGGCTTCACGGATTCTAGTTTTCAATCGGACGTGGATGACTCGAAGTCAAACTCGGGGTATATATTCAAAGTCAACGGGGGTGCCGTGTGTTGGAAGAGTTCCAAGCAATGCACAACGGCTGATTCCACCACCGAGGCTGAATATATTGCAGCATCAGATGCTTCAAAGGAAGGGTCATGGATTAGGAAATTCATCCAAGAGTTGGGTGTATTTCCGAATGCTAGCGATCTAGTACGGCTGTACTGCGATAACAACGGAGCCGTAGCGCAAGCTAAGGAACCAAGAGCTCATCAGAAGTCCAAGCACGTGTTGAGAAAATACCATGTGATCCGAGAGATCATAGAGAGAGGTGAAGTCAAGCTAGACAGAGTCACCTCGGAGGACAATATTGCAGATCCCTTCACCAAGCCATTGTTAGGATCAGTCCACGAGAAACATCGAGAGTCGATGGGACTTAGATTTATGAGTAGTTGGCTTTAGGTAGTGGGAGATTGTTAGAGTAGGTGACCAACAAGCCAACTTGTGGCTGTGGTCTTTCTCTTTTCCTTGTAATAAAACAATCGTTTTTCGTTTGTAATAATAAAATATCTTATTTGGCATTCTATATCTGTTATCCCATGCAAGCAGCATAGATATAGTCCTAACGAGTTACTCTATTACTGTGAGTTGATCTAGTAGAATCGTGAGATAACTCAGCAATGTAATGTAACTGTTAAACCTTGTTCCTAGTCGATGGGTTACGCCAATAATGAGGATACCGGCCTTTCCCTTTTGAGACTAGCACTTAGTGTATGTGTACTGCGTCTCATCAGTCCTCGGTGTTGTGACATCGGCATACTTGAGTGGGTGCTCATACTGGATGAGTTCACTGAACTCCCTCGCCCTAGAAATCTATAAGTGGTTCTCATTCATCGAGTAATAGGTTTCTAAGATATAGTTGTACACCATTAGTCCTTAAGACCCAGACATCACCGTGACTTCACTAGAGGACCGATTGTATCGTGACCTGTCCCTGAGTCCCACCGCGGACCGCTCCAAGGGCCAACGTTCGTGCAATCCGAAATCTAGTGTGAAGTCTGTGCATTGTAGTAGGGGATTCGAGCGCTTGAGTAGTCATGGATGTCCTGTGTGTTCTGACGGTTTATAATCCATGGAATCTCTGGCCAGAGTTGATAGTGGGGTGATTAGGGAAATGTGTTTCCCTAAGTCACACACGAACGGATTTATAATACCTAGAACGTTCGCACGGTTATTGAACTTTATAAGAGGTCTCGGTGAACCAATGCCTCTAGTTCAATCGGGACATGTGCTACGAAAGGATCGTACTGTACGCTAACTATATCATAAGGTTCTTGCAGGCACTTCATTTGTATCTAGGGAATCATGATGCGTAGTTGCTAGACGCCAATCTTGATTCGTTGGGCACCGATTTGATCGGGATTAGGTAAAATGAGTTTTACTCTAATCGGGACTCTTGGGAGGAGTTCGTATAAGAACAATGTGTTGTTCGAATCACAAAAAGTTGTGAGCCCACGGCTAGCATACACCTGAACCATTGAGGGTCACACTTCTCGTGTGATATAGATCCTTGATAACAACAAGCATAGATTAATGTGTTAATCTTTGAACGATTGGATGTCGATATGATTGAATCCAAGATTCGCAATTGTGGATTGCGAATTGGAATAAACGTAGAGAAAGAGAGACATGCGGGATTTAGTGAACTTTCTAAATTGGGAAGTTTCCCGATTTAGCAAGTCCACTGAAATGGAAGTTTCCAATTTTGGAAATTGGAAATTTCGAAGAGGCACTCGTATCGACGAGGACTTTGAGCTCGTCAAAAATATAATTTTGTTATAATTTTGTGAACGATCGTTTGTTAGAAACGAGGCCGACGAGGGAATGGGCTTAATGCATCAGTGGGTCAAGCCCAATGACTTAAGCCCACTAGGGTTGAAAACCCTAAGTATAAATAGACCTCAAAAAGAGTTTTGAGATCCGATTTTCAGCACCAAACCCTAGCCGCTCAAGCCCTAGCCGCTCCCCTCTTCGGCCGTTGCTGCCCTGGCGCGCCACCGCCGACCACCGCAGGAAACACCGCCGGTTTTCTCCTTTTCTTCCTTCGTTTTATTCGTGTTGTTATCTAACTCGTTTACATCTAGTGCTGTAGTTCGAGTGGGTCGAATATACGAGGTGAAACCTAATTGGAGAGGAGCTGCTGCCTCGACGAATCCACGAACCGCCGCACGCGCCGCACCGCCGCTCACGCGCCGTCGCTGCCGCTGCCACGCGCCGCCGCTGCTGCTGCCGTTCGTCGCCGCTCGTTGCTTGCTGGATCAGCTTGTTCCAGCTGTGAATCGCAACCCCGTGGATTGGTAATTAGCAGCTTGTACGTGACTCGTTCTAGGATTTCGATTCGTCGAAATCGCACGCTACAAGAGGTAATTAAATCGGAACTTTCGTAATTCGATTCGAACATGTTTGTATGATTATTAATTTGCGAGCATGAGTAATACGTGATTACATGTTTCGATTTTGTGAAATGAAGAATAAGCATGTTTCGTAATTTTCGGTTTTACGCGTTTTTCAATTAAATCGATAATTACCATATGTATGGCGGAAGCATTAAGGTACGTTGACTATGTGATTAGTTTATGCATGTAATCGAAACTAGTTCGATATAAAATTTTAAATTCCGCTGCGTATACATGCACGATCCCCAACATTAACATCGCACAAGGTGTATCCAGGAAACCGCCAGTGAAGCATGATGAAAGATAGTTGCATTGTTCAAGTTGCGATTACAATAAAATCAGCAAATTTTCATATCTATGTGTCGGAGTCATTAGACATTGTTCTTGCTCACACAAGGATCAAGCAAGTACCTCTATATTTCGGACTCATACCAATACTACATATTGCCAAACTCAACTAAAACCAAGCCATTTGCCAGGTATTTCAATGTCAGCCCAAAACAAAGAATCATACAGCCAAATAAATATACAAATACTAGTAATGTAGTTTGTTGGCATCCAATGAATTCTGAGCTTCAGATTTCTATCCAAGAACCAATAGTTATCCAATAGTTATGATTCTTGCTTAATAGCGTAGACCAACTAATGATTAATAAAATGGTGAATCAAAGAGTTCTTAAACGTGAACATACTTTGTCGGAAATAAGTTAAAACAACGAAGGATCCCGTATGCAAAGAAAATATATTAAACTTTAACCTTGAGCGACGTTAACACAATACAGAATTTAAAAAAAATGTCGCATGAGCTGAAAAAACAGGACACAAAATAACAATGAAAAGAAAAAAAGGAAGTCAGTCCATACCAAAGCCATGGTTTTAGTAGGAGGCAAAATGATTTTGTCCAAGCTGCCAAATTTCCCAAACATATTTGATAATTCACTTTGAGATGAACCATAAGGTAAATTCTTCACTTATATAACATGGTTGCTTCTTTTAAGACCATCAGTTTTACCATCAGCAAACTTCTCTAAAGAGGAAATATTAACCCCAGCACCTGCGAGAGCTTTTTTTTGTCTCAGCAATCACTTGAGTCTCTCCCATTGCTATTCTCACAGCAAGATCATCATTTTCTCTATCTAGTAGTTCACTTTTACTGACACCACTTCTCCGTGCAATGTATTCGACAACCTACAATATGAAGGGTTAGAAGAGAAGAGAAGATGATAGACCATCCAAAAAATTTAATGGACAAACCTGTGCAGTTTTACAAACAGTGGTCGTCAATTATTAGTTCAAAAGGAAGAAAAGAACATTAACCGACATTAACCCATAAACTTTAACATAGAAATAGGATATAGTGGATCAAAACTCTCATGCTCTAGTAACCCAATCCCATAGTTATAGAATGAGTAAAAAAAGGGTCCAGGACAGGACGGCAATTTTATCATGGATATAAACCGGCTCTACTTTGACCTTTTCTTCCATATTCTTAAGAACACCAATTTTATTGAAAAGGTTTTGCGGTCACTAGAGGGGCAAATATATATGGGGTATCAAGCCTAATATTTAGTTCGCTGACTTATACATCAGAAATTCTCCGACTTACAGTATCAGGGCGCATAAATAAACTATTCCATGCCCGTGTATTTCCAGAAGCTTCTCATGCCTTTCTCTCCGAAATCTTTTGTTGCTTAAACATTTTTGAAGACAGATTGTGTTGGGTGCTAAATACCCACACGCAAGTGCACGTATCGCAAACAAGTAGTAAAGTAGACTCGTGAGAGTCGGATGTCGATCCCACAGGGAATACGCAAACTATTTAATCCTAAGTACCAAATCTTAACAATTATGATTTTTATCCAGCCTACGCATGGTTGTCAATTTAATTAACTAAATAAATTAAACTAATTAAGAAAGCAATTAAACACGAGAAAATATCAATATAAAACGGATCTAGGATTTTATCTTCCCCCTATGCAATAATTCTTCACCCAATTAATCTCCTATCATGCAGTTACGATTCCCGATTATTAACCCAAGACACGAAATTATTCATAACCAGCTGTCGCTGCGTTATAAACCTATTATTCATAAAAGATTCACTATATGTCTATGCAAACCTAGTATAAATAAAGCATTAAATAACAAGTCTCGACAACGGCTACCTAAGGTATTATCTGTATGTCTACGATAATACATGCAATCAACACACGCATTCGGTGAAAAACTACTCGAAGGCTCTTCTATCCCTGTTCTAATTATTAAAACGATCTGTCAATCAATTCTAACAATAACAACTAGCAACATAAATTAGCTACGTTCATGCGCTAAATAAGATCAAGATAGAAGAAATAATCGAAGAATTAAACTTGCATAAAAGTAGAAAATTAGGTTCGATTTACCACATAGGGTTCCAATAAAATCCTAGAATAAAAACTTAGCTACTCATGTTCGCTACGAAAAACATAATAAAAATACGAAAAATCATAAAAGCTATAAATAAAAATCAAAGAGGAGAATTAGGATGAAGATTCGTCAAGTCTTCGTCTTCGTTCTTGTGCTCCTTGATCGCGTGTAGAAAGATGAAGAATAAAAACTAAGATAAACGATAAAAAGTTCAAAAGATCTTCCTAATTGTGTGCTTTTGGCCTTTAAATAGGGTGCAAAAATATAATAGGGTGGGTTTCCTTGTGTAATTAAACTTCCTTCACTGCGCCCCTACGCTCATCCGGACGGCGGTGTGAGATTAAGCTCTAAAATTCGGACGGCCGTCCGGTCCTTAATTCTCCAGAATTTCGATATTTTCACTTTTGGCCCACTTTTTCTCCGAATTTGCAGTTTTCACCCCATAAGTTGCCAATTCTTCAATTTGCACCTAAAATACAAATAATAACCATTTTACACACCAATTATCATTAAAACACACCAAAAGCTCCAATTAAAAGGTACAATTCAGTGTATAAATATACACTTAACACACCCCCAAACTTGAACTTTAACTTGTCCTCAAGTAAAATCAAATTAAGAACACAAAACACGACTATACATCTCATTACATAGATCGATTGGTCAACTTCGCGTTTTCAGAACTTGCAATTATGATGATAATTCCTAGGTATTCGCAAGCTTAACATTCAACGGCACTTAGTCATCACTCACTATTACCAAAAACCACAAATCATACAATCGCTTCAAGTATCCAATATTTGCAAGTTAAAGATAAAAAGAATTTGTACTTACATGCATATATTTGACTCCAAATACTCACCAAATTATTTTACTCAACTAATATTGAACAATAAGTTACTGGGATCATTGGGACTTTGTGGCTTTCAATTGTTAGGCTCTTTGGTCCGAGGTAGGTAATATGGGAATGTGTGGCTAATTTTCTTGAATTGAGGTGATTACGCCAAAATTTGAAAGATAGGCGTTTGAAACAATGAATTCTCCTCTAGAGACTTTTAATAAACTCGACTCTCCAAAATTCACACGTCAACACTTTTTTGCCTTTGAGGCAATGGATCGAGTTTTCAACACAATTCAACAACTAGCCCTTATTTCTCCCTTATAATCTATTCTTCTTCTTCTTCTATTTTTTTTATTTTTTTTTTAAGAAGAAGAAGAAAGATCATATAAGAATTTTTCGACCGACTTCCAAGGGATAATTATTCAAAAATCTCCACTTTTCTACCTTCTACATATTGGCTAAAAGAAAGAACACCTTTTCTCTCCGAGGCTCAAATCACGGTTCTAAGGATAAAAATTTAAAGGTAGGCTTGAAAGGCTCAAACGGTTCAAAGAAGGCCCAAATCATATCCCAAATAACTTACTACCCAACACTTCGTTTCATAAATGTCCTAAGGTGAGATTTAAAACCGAACAAAGCATGATTTAGCACAAATAAATTCCCAATTTAAAATGCAAAACATTCAACCAAAGCAATGCAAAAGGTGTGATTCCTAGCAATAATTTACTTCTACGTTCCGTTGAATCGAAAGCTAAACAAATACTAACTCCTTATCACATAAAGCAAGCAATTTCATCATCAAACATTGACCATCTCCCATCATCATAATTCATCGATGCGTCGAAATTTATTTATTTATTTTTTTTTTTCCAAAGCAAATAATAAAACGGAAATAATAAAACGCAAATAAAGCATGCAAACTAAAAATAATTAAAACACAAATAAAGCGCACATAAATGAAAACAAGTAATCAACCACCCCCAAACTTAAAATTCACATTGCCTTCAATGTGATTCGCCCGGAGTTTAAGGATAGAAAACACCTGTTTAAGCGCCGGGACCATCGTTGGGTTGCGCTCCAACTCCTCCTTGCGCATGAGCATCACCATCCTCTTCATCATCCGAAAGCTCGGGTACCGGCTCAAGAATCGGTGCGGGTAACGGAGCTGGTTCTTCGCACTCGGGGTTGCCGCATGCCAAATGGCGCACGATGGCTTGGCGCATCTTCCCTGACCACCGTTGGAGGGATTCAATCGTGCTCACTTTGTGTTCCACCATTGCAAGCCGATTTCTCGTGATCACCAATTCTCGCTCCATTCTTCTTTGAAATCGCCGGTTCGAACTTGTACTTGGACCCTCGGGTGGAGCTATTGGTTGGTTATCGACGGGTTGCTCGCCATCTTGGATGGGTGCCTTGTATTGTCGGACCGCCAGGTTACTCATCGGCTTCCGAATCGATGTGAGGATATCCGTCGGTTTGGTTGGGACCTTCGCCTTCTTGCAAAGCCCGGTGACGAGGCAAGGGAAATAAAACCCTTTGGAGTTGTTGACCATGGAGGTCCAAAATCGGTCGGATATGATTGCGCCTATGTTGATCGGTGTGCCCTTGAGAATGTAGTAGGCAAGAGCGCACCGTTCGGGATCCACGTGAGTCCACGAGCGGGTGGGAATGAGGTTGGCACAAATGAATGTAAGGCACGCCTTGCCTATTTGGTGAATGCATTTCCACTCCAACTCGTAAGTTTCTTCGGTTGAGAGGTTGGACCAAATGGGGGGTCCATCGCACAACACCTCGGCGATTTGATCGCGTGTGACCGCAAGTTGCAATTGCCCCCAATTGAATGGCGTCGTGTGTCTGAGGTGATAAAAAGAGTTGATTGCGTAAGGATTCCAATCGACCTGCTTGCCTCGAACCGTGCTCGAGTTCCGATCCGTTGTGAGGAGGATACGGTTGTTGGCGTAGAACTCGCGGACTAATGATAAGTTGATTGACCCCTCCGGTTCCAACAGTGCTTGCCACCCTCGTCGTAAGAATTCTTGATGTAACGGGGCAAATTGTGGAAGGGTGATCTCGTAGGCGCGCTCGGTCACAAGTTTCTTCACTTTTTGCTTCTCAAAGCGAGCACTAGCGCCTTCGACACAAAAGGCATCTTCGTCGGGGGTCGGAATTTGGTCGGTTTTCTTGCCCTTCCCCTTGCCCTTTGAAGTGCTTTCGCCTTGTGAAGTGCCGTCTCCGTCACGTCCTCGTTTCCCCATGACTTGAGAATGTGTGTGGAAGGGATTTGGAGTGAATTGGTGTGCACAATTTCTCCCAAACTTGACTTAGGTAATTCGTCGAACACCTTGTGAGCCTTCTTGGTGGAATGGATTTTTGGAGAAATTTGTACTTTTCTTGAATCCTCCCTGCACAAATCAACAACAATCACCGTGTTTGAGCAATATATGTGTAAAAAGGGTGAATTTTTGCTGAAATTTGGCAAAGAAAATCGAAAATTTTGAAAAGATGGGGTTAGGGTTCGAATGAGGAGAGAGGGGGGAATTGGAATTATGAAAATTGGGGTTTGGAAAACCCCTATTTAATATGCCTGTTTTTTCCCTCGGACGGCCGTGCGAGATATAGGCTTAATATCCGCACGGCCGCACCATTTGTCAAAATTGGGCAGAAGCTGCTCCAAGTCTCGGACGGCCGTGCGGAATTCCAGTTCTTTTTTCGCACGGCCGTGCGGTTTCACGTTTTTGTCCAGTAGCTCATTGAAAATCTCACACGGCCGTGTGAGATTCCAGTTCTTTTTCTTGCACGGCCGTGTGAATAGTTGCAAAAATTGCAATTAAGGCCCTGAAAAATAAAAACTTCTTATTAGTGCCCCTGAAATTATATTTTTTTTTTTTTTCGAAAAAATAAAATAAAAACAAAGCAAAACTAAAAATGTAAAATAACATAAAATAAGAAAAACGAAAGCTCGGGTTGCCTCCCGAGAAGCGCTAAGTTTACAGTCTTCAGCCGGACTTTGTCTGCTTCTTTGTTCAAGCTAACGTGACCGAAGTCACTTGGCGATTGAATTCCCCTCCATGATGATGCTCGTTTGATTCTTTAGGTGGCCACATCCTCCTTGCACGTTCATCACCGTTGGCACCCCAACTCCTTTGACTATCTCTCGGAGGAGTTGAACGTGAGTCCGCACAATAAACTTGCTGCTTTCGACTGCCGTTTCCTCCGCCATCTCCTGCACTCAAAGATCCTTTCCCATGGTCTAAGATCAAAACGTCAAAAATCGTCATGATTTGTAAAATCCACAAGATCAATAGCATAACAATCGTTATTCTCACATGAATTTTTATTAGCGCTAAAAACGTTAAATTTGATCGTTTGATCGTGCACCGTCATTGTAAGATCACCACTAGCGCAATCAATTAGAGTTTTCGACGTGGCTAAAAACGGCCTTCATAGAATAAGAGGTATCTCCCTATCTTCATCTATATCAAGTATAACAAAATCCACAAGGAAAATAAATTTATTCACTTTCACTAGCACGTTCTCTAAAATACCTTTTGGGTAAACTAAAGACCTATCGGCTAATTGAAGGGTTAGAGCCGTCGGTTCAATCTCACCTAACCCAAGATTTTTGTAAATGGAATAAGGCATAAGATTAATGCTAGCACCTAAATCAATGAGTGACCTAAAATTTTTACCTCCAATAGTGCAAGGGATAGTGAACTTACCTGGATCGCCGAGTTTTTGTGGAAGGGGCCGTATAAGAATTTCACTGCATTGCTCCGTGAGTTGGATGATCTCGTTCCCTTGCAATTTATTGCTCTTTGTTACGAGCTCCTTGAGGAATTTCACCCACTTTGGCATCTTTTGAATGGCTTCGATAAACTGAATGTTTATGTGGATTTCCTTCAGCTTGTCCAAGAATCCTTGGTGCTCGGCATCAAGCTTCTTCTTTTGAAGCTTTTGAGGATATGGGACTTGAGGGACTCGTGAGTTCATTGTGGGTGATGGCGGTTCCTTGCGAGTTGCTTCTTTTTCCTCAGTCACATTCGGCTTCTCGATTACCGTGTTTTGCTTCTCCTTTTGGGGGCTTCCTCCAATTGTCTCCCGTTCCTTAAACTTACAGCGTTGCACTGCTGGATGTTGTTCTTCCGAGGATCTTCCGTGTTTGATGGCAGTGCTCCCGATGGCCTCGCGGTTAGCTGGGTTGCAAGTTGACCCATCTGTGTCTCCAAATTTCGGATGGAGGCTTGGGTGGTTGTCATAAATTGCGCCAATATATTTGTGAGATCTCCTCCTTGAGGTTGAGCTTGAGGCGGATTTTGAAATCCTGGAGCTGGTCGTGAATAATTAGGCGGTTGGCCTTGAGGTGGTCCTTGCCTTTGCCCTTGCTGATTTCCTCCCCACCCAAAGTTAGGGTGATCCTTCCATCCCGGATTATATGTGTTGGAGTACGGGTTCCTCTGTTGTCGGTTGGTGTCATGCACATAATTTAGAGACTCCGTTTCTTCTACGCGCTGGTCGGGAGCTTGGACTGCATGGACTTGCTGAGTCTGCAAAGCCGCTACTTGCTTCGATAGCTTCTCCAATTGGGCCGTGATTGCAGTGACTCCGTCTAACTCCAAAATTCCTCCCGTCTTGATTGCTCCGCTGTTCGACCGGTCCGACGCTCGCATGTATTTATTTCTAGCGATTCGCTCCAAAAGCTCGTATGCTTCATCGTAAGTCAAACTCATGAACATTCCTCCAGCTGCAGAGTCGAGCACGGTTCTCGAGTTGTCTTGTAGCCAATCGTAAAATATTTGCAGTTGGCGCCACTCTTGAAGTCCGTGATTCGGGCACCTCCTCACTAATTGTTTGAACCGCTCCCACGTCTCGAATAATGCTTCACCGGCTTCTTGTATGAAATTTTGAATTTCTCTCCGGATTCTCTCAGTTTTTGTTGGGGAGTTGTATGTGTTCATGAAAAGTTGTGCTAGCTGGGCCCAAGATGAGATGGAGTGCGGTGCGCGCGTTTGTAACCATTCTCGGGCTGCGCCTTGTAAGGAATGCTTGAACAGGCGGAGTTGCAGTGCTTCGAGTGATACTCCGTTCATCTTGTGCGAATCACACGTCTCTAGAAAGTTGACCAAGTGGAGATGTGGGTCTTCATGAGCCAATCCGCTGAATAACCCGTTGTTTTGGAGCATTGTGAGGAGTCCCGCTCGAATTTCGAAATTATTGGCTTCAATGGGGGGTTGCTGGATGCTTGATTGAAACCCATAGAGCGTTGGAACGGTATACTCATGCAGTGCTCGTTGACGAGGTGGTGGATTAATTAGCTGGCGTTGGTTTTGCTCGTTGACGATTTCTCTCGCTACACTCGGTGGGTGCCTTTGGTCACCTTTCCCACGGTTTATCTCTTCGTCCATCGTTGCGGGAGCGTTTTGAGCTAACCGTTGATTTCTCCTAGCTTGCCTAAACGTTCGCTCAATTTCGGGGTCGAGAGGTAGCAAATTCGTGTCGTGTCCTCTTCGCATAAAAAGTACCTAAAACAAAATAATAAAATAATTAAAAAAAATAAAAAAAATGGCTGAAGTAAAAAAAAATTGCTCAAATTTAATATTAGGATAAATAAATAATTTAGCCGTATTCCCTGGCAACGGCGCCAAAAACTTGTTGGGTGCTAAATACCCACACGCAAGTGCACGTATTCACAAACAAGTAGTAAAGTAGACTCGTGAGAGTCGGATGTCGATCCCACAGGGAATACGCAAACTATTTAATCCTAAATACCAAATCTTAACAATTATGATTTTTATCCAGCCTACGCAGGGTTGTCAATTTAATTAACTAAATAAATTAAACTAATTAAGAAAGCAATTAAACACGAGAAAATATCAATATAAAACGGATCTAGGATTTTATCTTCCCCCTATGCAATAATTCTTCACCCAATTAATCTCCTATCATGCAGTTACGATTCCCGATTATTAACCCAAGACACGAAATTATTCATAACCAGCTGTCGCTGCGTTATAAACCTATTATTCATAAAAGATTAACTATATGTCTATGCAAACCTAGTATAAATAAAGCATTAAATAACAAGTCTCGACAACGGCTACCTAAGGTATTATCTGTATGTCTACGATAATACATGCAATCAACACACGCATTCGGTGAAAAACTACTCGAAGGCTCTTCTATCCCTGTTCTAATTATTAAAACGATCTGTCAATCAATTCTAACAATAACAACTAGCAACATAAATTAGCTACGTTCATGCGCTAAATAAGATCAAGATAGAAGAAATAATCGAAGAATTAAACTTGCATAAAAGTAGAAAATTAGGTTCGAATTACCACATAGGGTTCCAATAAAATCCTAGAATAAAAACTTAGCTACTCATGTTCGCTACGAAAAACATAATAAAAATACGAAAAATCATAAAAGCTATAAATAAAAATCAAAGAGGAGAATTAGGATGAAGATTCGTCAAGTCTTCGTCTTCGTTCTTGTGCTCTTTGATCGCGTGTAGAAAGATGAAGAATAAAAACTAAGATAAACGATAAAAGGTTCAAAAGATCTTCCTAATTGTGTGCTTTTGGCCTTTAAATAGGGTGCAAAAATATAATAGGGCGGGTTTCCTTGTGTAATTAAATTTCCTTCACTGCGCCCCTACGCCCATCCGGACGGCCGTGTGAGATTAAGCTCTAAAATTCGGACGGCCGTCTGGTCCTTAATTCTCCAGAATTTTGATATTTTCACTTTTGGCCCACTTTTTCTCCGAATTTGCAGTTTTCACCCCATAAGTTGCCAATTCTTCAATTTGCACCTAAAATACAAATAATAACCATTTTACACACCAATTATCATTAAAACACACCAAAAGCTCCAATTAAAAGGTACAATTAAGTGTATAAATATACAATTTATACACTTAACAGATTGCCAGCAATACTGTGTCTGTAGAATGAGATCCAGCATAAAGATAATATTTATGCTATGACTAACTCCCATTAATTAACAGAATAAATGTAACTTGAAAATCTGTAACCAAAGGCATACTCTTGCAGATCAGGAACATATTTTTGTTTAGCAGGCATGACATGCAATAACCTTCCTTGAAAAATTGAACTGTCCATCTCTTCTAATGCCCTGGAAGAAAAAAAAACACATAATATCAGGAAGGGAAAGGACAAACTATGGCAACTTTACTATTTGAAAATTTGCATGCACAAGAATAGGAGCGCATATTAAATAAATTAATATTATATCTGAAAAAGGTCGAACTGACCTCAGCCAAAAGAAAATCACTAAACAAGTATATTTAGTAATGGTTAGCCCTGAGGTTTACAATAGATCATTGTACTGATTTCTTGCTTGAATATAAATATCATTGGAACTTGAATTCTTCAAATCATATACATCAGCATGATCAGTAATAGTGATGCCAACTAAGTTTTTGAGTCGGGAAATGAAATAATACCTAGCAGCAGATTCTGGGAGTGCAAAGAGAACATAAGCAAATCCCTTGGAACGTCTTGTATCTTTGTCAATGACAATATGGACCTGAGAGATGGTCCCATATTTACTGAAGTGATCTTCCAGTTCCTCCTCACTGCGTACATCAAGAAGTTTCGTGAAATGAAAATCACAAACTGAATAACGGATAAAAAGATGGGGCATGCAAGACATTAATATCATAGAATAGGTTGTCCTCATACGGGTCTGAATAATATGGTACTTACGTGGTAGTGTAGGGAAGATTACGGATGAAGAGACGACCAGATTCTAGAACTTCATCATTCTTGTTTTTTGGACTTGATGAAGGATCACCTGAGCCATTTATTCCACATTCTCCAGAAGAGCCATCATCAACCTCGCTTTTGGGAACTGCAGGTTCAAGTTTATTATCTGTAGGATCATGGTTACTCTTGTCCTGAGAGTCACTGCAGTCATCATTATCATCACCATCACTATGATCAGTGCCATCAGAACTACCCTCACTGTCGCTAGTTTCTGAATCTGACCATTTCTTTTTAATTCTGCTCTTAAAGTAATCCATGTCGGATACAAATTCATCATGAACCAAAATAGTTGGTTTTTCTGGATCTTGTTTCTCTGATAAAACATTTCCGTCTCCCTTAACTTCCTCAAGATCAGCACTCTCTCCATTTAATTTGCCATCATGCCCTTCTGCCATATGAAATTTATTATCTGTTGCTACTTTGCTTTGCTAAAGAGAGGGGGCTGCAAGTGTATTGTTTGCCCACAATTTTGACCTGCTACGATGCTCCATGATCTGAAGAAACTCTTGAAGTTTAGGGTCATCGATCTCCTCCTCCTTTTTACTCTTCTTACTTGTCCCTTGAGGTACTACAGCTGTAGAAACTTTTGAGCGGGTTGTTGTCTTCTCTTTTTCTGAACTAGTTAATCTTTCCTCTTCTTCAGAAGCATTCTCTTTCTTCTTCTTCAATGAGTGTCGACTCCAAGGGCGGGGAATATTGGGATCTCCAACCTTTTGAGCAATCTGGCGACGACCATACCAAAAAGTTACTACATGTTAGTTTTTATGAAACAAAAAAAAATCAAGTTTTTAGCTTCCTCTTGTAATTAAGTGAAGTGTGAACACCATTTTATAATTCTCTACTAATAAACTGTCAATTGCAGATCTTAGAAAGGTCTGCTACATCGGCGATATACCACAAACTAGAACAACCTTTCCATGATGTCCCTTTTGGTGATTGACAAAAGGCAGTACAATTAATTCCTCATTCAATAGAACACATTACCAGCTACAACTGTGGCTATTGACGAAATAATCTCACCATTACTTCCTACTAAAGTGGTTCCTAATTCAGAAGCTTGAAACTTAAAAAGAAATAACAGACCTCACAAGTAATTCTGCAAGTATCCAAGAAAGACTTGTTGAAGTAGTTTGTGGCTTCCTCGGCTTCATGCTCAGTCCTAAATCCAACAAATCCAAATTGCCTGCTCTTCCCATCCCTGAACCAAACCAAACCAATGTTTACTTATGAGTTCCTAAATTACAATTAAAGTGGCAATGTTTGAAGAACAAACTCACTTGGTGTGCATAAGCTTGGCGTCGGTGACTTCCCCTTTCTGGGAGAAGAACTCTTTCACACGGTCCTCTGCCACATACTTGGGCAAGTTTTTCACACATATCCGTGACCTTCCAATCAAAGATAATTAAAAAAAAAAAAATCAATTTTAAGCTTTGGGCTGAAGTGAAGCAGGAAGATAGAAAGGAAGAAAATTACATGGTTGGTTTATGTTTATATTCTTTAATACCGAGATACTCCAACGCTGAAATATGGACTAATTTTCTTACAAAGTTTCTATGAGAAGACCAGACTGATTGACTTCAATCAACGAATTTTGGGGTACTATAATCTTGTCATCCTCAATCTATGAACACCATGAACAAGACAAACAAGGAAATAGTCAGAATGCATTGAATGCACATAGGGGTGGAGATCAGACGGATCGGATCGGATTTGGGTGTTTCGGAAAAAATCCGATTTTTTTCGGAAGTCCAAAATGCCTTCCGATTCCAATTCCGATTTGTTCGGAATTCAAGAATCGATTCCGATTTGTTCGGAATTTTCGGAAAATCGGAATTTTTCAGAATTTTCAGACTTTTTTGAGAAAAAAAAATAGTCCTTCACTGCCACCTCACTGCCACCGACACAGTAGCAGAAGATTGGGAAAAAAAAAACTCAAAACAAATATTCTTCAAAGCAACAGACCCAACAATAGCCGAATTGAAAAACAACCCAAACAAATATTCTTCAAAAACAACATAAAAAACGATTCAAGTCTTAAATCATACGAACGTGGGTGGAGGAGCAGCGTGACGAGAGAGACCGGCGCTGGTGGTGGTCGTGGAGAGCACGGGCGGCGCTGGTGGTGGTCGTCGATCCGAGAATACGGGCGGCGCTGGTGGTGGTCGTCGGAGAACACGGGCGCCAGTGGTGGAAAAAAAGAGAAAGCAGAATTGGGAGAGGCTGAAGAAAGACGAGGAGAGAGATAGGGGGGCAATTAGGGTTTCAAATAATTAATTATAATATTTTGACTTTTGTACATATATATCTCCGTTTATATATAATTATATATACTGTATACATATATGATATACTAGTATTTTGACCCGTGCGTTGCACGGATGAATATTATAAAAGAACAAATTGAATTATTTCAAATACATGAATAATTTTTATAATAAATACGAAATTAATAAGCGCATATCATATGATGATATGCACAAAGCCTACTCATAACAATGAAAAATGTAGAATTTTTTTTGGTAAACAATGAATTAACCATATGACCCTTAAATCTATCAATATAAACATTGTTAATGTCCATAGAACAATGAACACTCAAAGATAAATTGGGTATGAAATTCCAATAAAACACATCGTGAAGATTACACAGTGCACTCTCAAGCCATCCAATGAGCCAAATCATAAACAAATAAACCAACAAATGAAATTAAAATCATAAAACAATTAAACCCACGGAAAATATAATTTTACTGCATAAGAAAAAGAAAACATGCAACATATATAAAACTGAAATGATTTGTGCAGGCCAAAATTAAACATTCAGGCACATTTTTTACCATTATTCAAAAAACAAAAAGTAAAAAACTCAAAAACTCTCTCAACCTTTCGATTTTCTTTCGCAAAGCCCGTGCAAATCGTCAACAGATCGGAGGTAATTTTTACGTTTTTACGATCATCTTGTTATGTAGATTACGAATCCGGAAAAAAAAACGAAAAAAATCACACGTTGGCCTGCTCGTGTGAATTTACACGAGCGCATCCACTGTGCTCGTGTAAATCCACACGAGTAGGCCTTTTTTTTTTAATTTTTTTTTAATTGCTCGTGTAAAACCACACGAGTGGTTGCAAAGTGCTCGTGTGAAATCACACGAACACTTTGCAACCACTCGTGTGTTTTTACACGAGCAGATTATTTTTTATTTTTTTTTTATATAATTTTTTTTATAGAATTATAAGATGCTCGTGCAAAAACATGCGAGCATTTCAACAGTGCTCGTGTGAAATCAGATGAGCACTGTTGAAATGCTCGTGTGTTTTTGCACGAGCACAAAAATTTAATTTTTTTATTTTTTTTTATTTTTAATTGGGTAGGAATAGTACAAAAGGTAAATAGTTATGGTAAAAAGGTAAAAAATCATGGTAAAAAAGTGCCTGAATGTTTAATTTGGCCTGCGTATATCATTACCCTATATAAAATAAATAAATTCTAATTAGGACACTTGATGAAATTAAAATAAACTCTAAATATATGAACATTAAAATATTTTCCAGAATTGCAGAAGCCAAAATAATTTACCGCACAGTGTCATAAAATAAAAATAAAAACTAACAGCTGCAACAAAAGAAGTAAAAACAAAAGGAAATGCAAGGAAGGAAGGTTGCAGAAGAATATATAACCATTGCTGACAAAATACTCTACGTGTGGAAAAGGAAAAAAAAAATCATATCCGGCAAAAACAATGCACTCGAGCAAAGAAGTACATATCCAGCAAATACACCAGTAAAAAAAAATGCGGAAAAATTAATGTGCGGGAAAAAAACACATATCCAGGGGAAAAAAAACAAAAAAAAAGTGCAGAGCAAAAAAAAAACCTAACAAATCTGTAAAAAAGAAAAAAAAAACCCAACGCAAACAAAAATAGTGCAGAGAAGAAAAATAACCTAACAAATCTGTGACATAAAAAAATAAAATAAAATTCTTCAAGAGGAGTTCTGAAACCAAATATTTCGATGATGGATAAATAATGGCGGCAGAGAGAAACTGAGATGTGGTGGAGAAAAAATGGTTGTGGAGCAAAATAAAAACTGCATGGGAAGTTGAGAGAAGACGTGGGGAAGAGAAGTTGTTCGGTTGAGAAGAGAAATTGAAGGAGAGCAACTTACGTATCAAAGATTTATCCCAAAAAATCCTAGGGTTTCTCCAAAAAGAAACCGCCTTTTATATATAAGACATGTATGTATATTATAATCATTATATATATATATATATATATAATTAATAAATATCAATAATAATCGGACAAATTCGGCAAAAATCGCAAATAATCGGAATAATTTTGGATCGGAAATCGGAAATTCCAAATTTCTGTTATGTATTTCCGATTCCGATCAGATTTTTTTCGGATATTTTGAAAATTGGAATTTCGGAATTCGGAATTGAAAAAATCGTTCGAAAATCAGAAATTTTCGGAAATCGGAAATTGCGTTCCAATTTCCACCCCTAAATGCACAAGTAGAAAATAACTTGAAATATTATCTCTTCTCTTCACCTCAACTACCGGCTCAATATTCCTGACAGGTGTTCCAGTGCAAATGCCACTAGCCTGACGGCGAAATATTTGTTAAACTTTGATCTTAATTGAAACCCCCTCAGCCAAGACGAGCTAAATGCCAGTATAAATGCTCCGGAAACAAGAAACAAGCCGACCCCACCCTCCCATACGCTTTTCCTACCAAAACCAAAATCACTCAAAGTTTGCTGGAAGATGAAAAAATGAAATAAACATGTGATGAATAGAAAAGATACTAGAGAAGCGTAGGGATAATACCGTAGAATAGTTCGGTCGGAATCCGGTGCAGAAACACAAACCCTAGATAGCTTGAGAAAAGGGAAACAGTGACGAAACCAAAGAGAGAAGTTGGGTTGGGCCGCATGTGGTATTGAATTTGGAGGAGTTCAGCCCTATCCAACATTAATTCATATTAATTATTATTATAGTTATAGTTCAAACAAATCTGAATGTTTAGGCCGAAACAGAAATAACTAGTGTAGTAAAAACATCATTTTGACTTGTATGCACCCAAATTTATTTTATTTACTGGGGATCAATTATATTATATATATTGAATTCCATTTCCTTTTCTTGAATTCTTTACATCCTTAATATATTGTTCGATTTTCATATAGAATTGCGCAAAAAATGACCAAAATGGCACAAACAACGACCAACCTCATTGATCTTAAGCCGTGTCGATTTGACTGGAAAGTGGTGGTTCGGGTCATGCGACTGTGGAAAGTTCCTAGCAAAAACAATCCAAATGAAATGATCAGTATCGATATGGTCTTAATAGACAATAAGGTCGTTATTTATTTACGAGTTTATTTCGCTTATGGTTAAAACAATATTTTGATATAATTTCTAATGTTTTTTTTAGGGTGACAAGATCCATGCTTCTATAAAACGTAATCCCTTGAAAAAGTTTGAACTTATTGTGAATGAAGGTAATACCTACATATTTCAAAATTTTATGGCGGCTCCAAGCGATCCAAAATTCAGATCAACTCGCCATACTCACAAGATTGTGTTTATTAGCACTACTCGAGTAACTGATTTCCTTGCTGAAAATATTCCTGTTGTCACTTTTAATTTTACGGATTTCCATGATATCATTAATGACTGGGATGATACATGGCTTATAGGTAATTTCATTTTGTTAGATTATGTGTTCCATTAATTTATACCAAAGATTTCAATTTTGTGTATAACAATTATTTCCTTTTAGATGTTATTGGACATATTATTGAAAGGGATGCTTTGAGATAACTAAACAAAAATGGGCGGAGCCACAAGCTGTTGGAAGTCGGCCTTCAAGACTTATCGTAAGTATGCGTTGTTTATTTATTATTGTTTATATTTATTTTTATTTCTTAATTTTTCAATTGTTATTTTCAGTGGCAACAAACTTAGATGTGCTCTATCGGACAAATATGCTGAGGAACTGTCCACACATTTGATCAATGACAGATCGGATAGCCCTATCATTATTATTTTGCAATTATGCATGGTAAAAAGTTTCAATGGTAAGTACTTACATGTTGATTGGATTAAGTTTAAGTTATTGTTAATGATCTACTTTATTTATTTGCATTGTAGGCAGGAATAGTATTTCCAATGCTTTCCACAGCAGTAAGTTACTAATAAATGAAAATTTAGAGGAACATAGAGAGTACAGAGAAAAGTGAGTTTGTTTAACATAAAAAATATTATTTTAAATTTTATTTTATCTCATAATTTGTTGTTATGTATTTGTACATGAATATAGATTGATGATGCAAGCTGAACATTTTCTCAATCAATTAGTCAACTATCAACTCAGCGGTCCATTGGAATTTCTGATGATTTACTTCAGACAGAACATATGACAATCAATGATTTAATGGATTGCACAAGTTTAAGTATATAACCTTTTGTAGGCTTATTTCATAAATCATATAAGACTAATGTAAAATAATTTTTCAGAAACGCTCTGTTGCGTTGCTTGCTAAAGTAGTAGAAATAGACTGTGAGAGTAAATGGTGCTATCCATCATGCTCAAAATGTTTTAAGAAAGTTTATTGTAATGATGTTCAGTTCTATTGTGAAAAGTGTATCGATAATGTTCCTACTATCCCTAGGTAATTTAAATTTCATTTTGCTACAAACATCTTTATGTATTAAATTTTTTTATATTTATATAAACAAATTATTACTACAGATATCGGATTCAGGTATTGGTGTTTGATGTTACTGGATCCATTTCATTAGTGATGTTTGATAAAGTTGTTACCCAGATCATAGGCAAGAAGGCTGCAGACATTCTTGGGGATTTGGAAAAGGTAATATTAAATTTAATATGCTTATGAAATGGTAATCTTAAGCCAAATGTAATGTTTACCATTTATCATATAATAAATGGTAACCCATTTTTTTATAGGAAGATTTGACTGACGCAGTTCCTAATGAATTTGATGCACTTATCGACAAAGAATTTATATTCAAAGTAGATATTGGTGCAATGAACATTTTCAAGAATTGGTCCGTTTATACTGTTAAGACGGTGTCGGGTGTTAACTAAATAATTCATTAAATACTTAATGGAATAATATTGAAATATATTACTTATATATATATACCATTTATTAAATTATTTATGACAATTTAAATATATTTCATTCCATTAATTGACATATTACTATTCCATTAATATCTGTATAATTTTCTAAGATTGAGTATCTAAAAAGGACAACTCAATACTACATTTTATTCCAATAATTGACATATTACCATTCCATTAATATGATTATGCATTAATAAAATAAATTAATGTAAAATTATAAAACAATATAATTACTATAATGAATTAGTGATGATATATTAGCACTCAACATTTCAATGTAGTTAAGTGAAACAAATCAAGAAAAAAAGACGAAAACAATAAGTTTCCAAAACAAAAAAACGACATGTGATCCAACTTTACACAAATTAAATAATGAAATATATAAAATTTTAAATAGCGAAATTGCATATATAACCATATACTAAATGAGCTTGATGAAACAATATTAGAAATAATTACAAACATATATAAAGAATAGACAATTGTTAATTGCATATCATGTTTTAGATTTATCACTTCGATGATGGTCTTTTAAGGAATGAAAAAAATGAGTATTTTTTCTCGCACAATTCATATGAGATTCACGGAATTCTTTATATTCTTTTGACGCAACCGATGTCGTCACACATAGCACATAGGTCGATGTTATCTATAGTATCTACAAAAATAACATAAACAAACAACAAATAACATGTTAGACTAAATACATGTATATGTGTAAATAACCATTAGACACATTCACTATAGTTTAGAAAATAATATACAATTTGTAAACTCTTAAATGGTTTGACACGTTTATTACCTCAAGATCAGTGATGACAATTCTTTATCAAAAACATAATACACGTTTGTTTGTTAGATGTACATTTATATTTTTTCATACACAACTTATTTTTTAGGCATGTAATTATGATTGATTTATCAAATATTTTGTTACAATTAAAATAGATTTTTTTCTATAATATACTACAAATTACTCATGTTATATGATATATTGTGATATATTATGGACTATGTATTATAGATTATATTTCCATATGTATTAAATATTGCCTTGGTATTGAATTGGGTGATATATATATATATATATATATATATATAAAGTTTTAGATTATATAAGTTTAATCTGTGTGTATATATACACGTATATATCAAAAAAACTTATTCATGAAAACTTATTCATAATTCCAAAATTATTTAATAATTTTTGGAATAATGTTGAATTTTGGAATAACTTTGGCAATAATTTATGGGTGACGTAATTTTGGATTTTTTTTAATATATTTAGTATTTTATTTAATTACTATATTTAATTGGGGGTAATATAATTAAGTACTATATGGTACACATTATTAAATTTAACTTATAGTAATTAAAAAGTAAAATGAGTTATGAACAATAAAAGAAAAGAAAACTAAAAAATATCTTTTTTTAAAAGACCATTATTATGCGCATAACAAATTGAACAAAAAACTAAAAAATATTACGTATAAAAACATGTGACAATAGCACTTATATGCATTATTATGAGAAAGTAAAATATATAAAAAAATAGTATAATCTAAATGATCCAATATATGAAAACACAACTTGCAAAACATTAAAATTAGAACGTTCCGGAATGTAAAAAAAACATATTGTTCAAACTAAAATAACAAATTTCAATATCCGGAACGAAAAAAAATATATTGTTCAAACTAAAATAACAAATCAAACATGAAAACTAAAAAAAGAAAAATTAAGTATGACTAATGAAACTACTCCATTTTCTCTAGCTTAATTTTTTTTATCAATTTGCTGGTTGAGTGCTGCAGTGTTGGATCGTCGTCTACCTTTTCGAGAACACCATCGCCCGGTCGCTTTGACGATGGAGTAACATAAAGTACTTCACAATCATTATTCTCCGACAATGAAGAGGAATCCTAGCATAAAAGACAATGTTTTTAATAAACATATTGACTACGTATCGATTTTCAAGACCCTTTTGAATATGGAATGAGAACATGTTTAATCTACCTTTGACGATATAATAGGACCACCATTATAATCATTTACACTTGGGGAATGTCCGTTATGATTTTACGTAAATAAAAGACAAAAATTATATTAAATAGTGATTAAAAAAACAATAAGTAATAATGCAAATTAATCAAATGTGCATACCTCATTCAATTTATAATGTTCCGTAAACGCAGTAATGACAGAGTCATCAAAACAAACTTTTTTAATACGGTATGTTGAATTTGCTGGATCGTGTACATTCTTTTCCACAACGTTAAGTTTGAACAACATCATTCTATCAACCAGAGCATCAAGTTCCTTTGGATATTCGAAATCATCTTCTCCCTAATTAGTAATGGAAAATAAGTTTAAATAAATGTACCTACGAACATTAAAAAAAATCACAAACGCTTATTGACTTTTACCCTATCGTGTATACGCTGAATTAATGCATCGACAGAAAGATCCAACATCATTTCTGCATCTTTTCCAAATACTATCAATGTTGCGATATTTGTGTTGTCCATGACAATAAACTCAATTTTGTACCTATAAACAATAGTACAATATATTAACACGATTATAGTAATCTATAACAATTTTGGAATAGTTGTATGTTAGCTATTTTTTAAATCCTAGTACTACATAAAATTTTAATTTAATATATTTAAATGTCAGTAGTAATTAACAAACATAAATTGATTTTAATTATAAAATAAATAAAAATAAATAGTGTGTACATGTGGTTAGCCGAATGATATTTCTTATCACAATGAACACAATACCACATCTTCAAATCCTTCTCAACGGATTTCTTACACTTTGTATTCGGGCAGCTATAAAACCACCACTTTGATTTTTTCACCAAATTTGTGATCGTTGCCAATACAATGCATGTGCCAATCTAGAATTTAATACGATAATACATTAAAATATATAGTTCAAGTTTCAAATTAGGAATACCTCAGGCGATTCATCTAAGTCATCCAAAGTTTTTATAATAGACTTATGAACAAAGTCGTCCTCATATGAGTACGAAGAATTTGATGACATTTGACTTACGACTCGACAACTATCTGGCTCGCTTTGAGTGAGTCTGTAAAAACACTCAAGGTTGGATTAATAAGGTGGATTTATATAAAATAAAAAATATACACAGAGATTTATGTTTAAACAAACCTTGATTTGTAGTCATTGATTTCGTCAATGTTTGCATTTATCATAAACCGGGAAGAATGCAAAGTATTGGAGACCTCAATGTCACCTGAAAAATGATTAAAATTAAATCCTAACGTATAGTACAAATGTATTCAATACAATGTTTAAAGCAAGTAAAAATATGAAGAATTCAATACAATGTTTAAAGCAAGTAAAAATATGAAGAATACCATATCGCATTTGCGCGGTTGCGTATTGTAACACGGCAATATATGGTCCTTCATTAATATCTAGTACGGTTTCAATCACTTGCTCAACATATTTCTCCCACAACATGCATCTAATCTTATTACCGCTGTTAAGAAATAAAACAAATGAATTCGATATTATTTATAAATACTAACATATTGTAAATAAAATTGACAAACAAAATAAGAAGTGTGTTCAATAAGTACATACTCGAGATCTTGGAGTTCTATCAGAAGTTTCATGGAGTTCTATCAGAAGTTTCTTTTTTTGAACGCCTTCTTTTGTGAGGAAGGGTTCGATTTCACCTTTTCCAACGATATAACTGATGATATCTGTAAAAAACGTATACAATGTTAGTAAAAAATGTTAAATTTGTTTGCAATCGAATGGTGGTAGAAAAAAATGAAACGAACATTGAGGGGTTTATATAGTATTGAAAATGAACTTAATTTTATAGAAAAATTAAAAATTCAAAAGATTTATATATTAGTAAATGAAATCAAATCAAACAAATAAAGGAAACAACCCAAAAAAAAATAACTTGTGGAAAAAAAATCTTGCAATATAAAAACATTAAATATGAAGATACGATTTTTATTTTTTACCATTCAATTTTGAATTAAAGTATAAATTAAATCAATCAAAGATGATATCATGGAATCTTGGAATATTAAAGATTTATTTATATTGGTGATTTGATATTTTATTTGAAATAATAATTAATAAATAGTTTGCATAATCCGTTCTATAGTTCGGACCATATTATTATATATTAAATAAGGTTTTCCAAATATACAACCACCTTATATCATTTAGAATTAATCCACCATGCATTCAATATTTATTAAATAATATAATTATTTTTAATTTGAAATATGGTATAATAAAAATTATATAAAACAATAGTGTATATTTATTAAATACTTCAATTAAAAACTAAACCATTTTTCATTATTACTTTTAATGGAATGGATATTCGAATATTCTAAAATATTGAAAAAAAAAAAACAACATATTCCTTTATTTTAATATTTTAGTATTTTAAAAAAATATTTTTTTTATGAAAATTATGTGAATATTCGTAAAACAATTGAGTTTCATGAATTTATTTGAATAAATATATTTTGAAATACTGAAAATATAAATAAGATTTTTTTATTTCGAATTTATAAAATATTAACTTTGGAAATAATATATATACATGTGGTAATTATTAAATGATTGTGTAAATGTAAAATAGGAAAAAACTTAAAAACATCCATAAATAAAAATGTCACCTAATCAATTGAAGAATCCACCTAATCAATTGAACTCCAACTAAGCAATTTTGACAAATGACATCATCATTTGCCACATGTCATTCATTGAGGGCATAGATCCTCTTTTTATATTATATATAGATTAGGACAAGTAGAATATTTAAACAACGTGGGCTTTTTTGTATGATTCTAATTTTGGGCATCAACCAAAAAATTCAAGCCCAAAAATAGTATGGGTTGGGCTAATGAAATGAAGTCCACTACCGGGCCCTAAAATAAGATTAATTTTTTTTTTTTAACAAATTTTTTTATAGTAGTTTATGGGTTGGGCTGGGCTAATGAAATTTTCTATAGTAATATAGGCTGGGCTGGTGAAATGCAGCCCACTACCTGGCCCCTGTTGGAATGTGAAGCCCAGGAGCCAATGAAAATTCGTATGAGGTTCTAGATTAGCCGATTTTTAAATCTTAATTAGCACGCATAGATTTGAGTTAATTAAAGTGGAATATAAATCTAATCTATGGACTTACGTTTCGAAGAGTAGATCCAAACTATCTTCGGCGCACGAACGAGGATCCACGTCAAGTCTTCAACCTTCGAACTTCAACCTTCGAAGAGCTGTTGTCCAGAAATTCCAGTCCTCTTCCTTCACCGATATCTCTGCGACCGTTGATCCGATCGAGAAACCCTTCGGACGGATTGTTGATATAAGGGTTAGGAAGCTACTGTATAAATTTCGTGCCTATCCGACTAACGGTTGATTTATGGTAATTTTCTTCGCAGGACTGTTAAGAAAATTCGTGATTTATGTTTAGCCCTATAAGTATATCCTGAATTTATTTATCTACGATTGTGGGATCGTACCTAAAAAAATATCTAAATCTATAATCTAAGAAAATAGTGAAAGAGAAGAGAAAATATTTTTTGCTTATTTGTCTAGCAAAAATCGGCTACTCCTATATTATGGAACAAGTTATTTTTATCTTCGATCAAGTACCTATATATAAGGGTCTATAAAGAGTTACACTAGGAGAAGGATTGAAGAATTAAATCTTCCTCCAACTCTACCATAGTGGGCCGAAAATCATAGGCTAAAATTAGCCAAATAATTTTTCAATTTATCTTTCACCTTATTTACTTGATTTAATTCTATTTTCTCAATTAATTAGAAATATTCATTGGTCTACAATAGGGACTAAAGGAAAAAATACAATACGGGCTATTTAACAATTAATTAAATCCAAATTCTAAAAAGAATTCATTTAATTAAATATTAAATAATTATTTATTTTCCACTACCAAATAATTATTGACTCCCGATTGTATTCTCAAAATTAGATTTCGAGCTCCCGTTTATCATTACTTAATTTCTCCTCGCATTAAGAAGATCAAATGACCACCAATTAATTTATTCACTGAAAAATAAATTAGCTTGACATATTATCTTGAGTCTTTCCCGCTTAACTTGTTTGTGTATGTCGGATACGAAATCCACTCGGCCGAGTTTCTGACATAAACAAAACTTATAAGCTACTCAAGGGTCATCATTATTCAATCCCATATTTCAGAGATGCGAATTCCTTTCGATAATCAATTTCCACCTATTAATTCTTAGTGTCTCTGCCCAACACACTAGGGCTCATTTGACTCAATATAGGAATCTCTCCCATTGTGACATCAAAGTAGAGATCACCAATTAAACGTGTACGTTGATTATCTAGGGATTAAGAGGTTAAGTAATTTCTCGTAAACCTAGAAATAATATAGTTTCATATTTAATCAGCGATGAAACAAATATTTCACTTCGTCTTGTTCAACACATGTCGGGTGTGCTAGCACAATAAGTTAAAACGATAACTACAAAAGTTATCATCTGTTTACCGTGATCAAGACCAATCACTAAAATATTGTGCTACAATCATTTACCAATGGTTAGTCCAATTCCATCTAGATTGTGAACGTTTAAACTTTATATTCTAAACAAACTTTCGAAATGATCTTTCTGTACGCCGTAGCACACCATTTCGAATACTCTTAGAATAATAGACTTGTACTTATAATTAATTGACAATTGATCAATATCTAATTAAAGGTACTAGAAACACACATACATTGATTCTCATAAATGACTGAATTGACTAAACTTTATTCAAAATTAAATAGTTCATGTAGATAAAAAGCAAGGCCTGTCTACTATCCTAACAGGCCCATCCCGTAATTCTTTCGAATAAAATATTTTTTTTTTATACATGCACCAAAAGGCGAAATCCCTTTGGCCAACAAGTAAAGACAGTACACAATTCAAAATACGCTTGAGTTGTCAGAAGATGATAACATAATTATCTTTAATATTAGGATCCCAATTCAAAATATACAAAGAAAGAAAGGCCACATATATTATCGCTAATTAGACAAAAATGAAACAAATACAGCCTTAGGTGGTTAGAAATTGTCAGAAACCGAAACCCTAGCCTTGCGCCCAAAGAGAATAACAAGAGGACGAGTAATATAATTATCACTGAATTCAGAACCCCCAAAACCCTTACGATTTAGTGGTCAGGGTAGCAATCGTAAAATATATATATATAAGCAAACAGATGCCCCTGATTAATTAAATTGCACACAACAAATAAAAAATATTCCAGAAAAGATACATACAAGTACGCTTCACTCATCACATAAAAAAGTAGATATATGGAAACATGAAAAAACTGAATCACCTCGTAATAAGCAGCCGATGTGCAAGAATCCGCAGAGAGGCGGTAGAAACCTAGAAAATTATCTTCCTCTGGACGAAGAAATTTTAGGGTTTCCAGAACGGGGTGTGTTGGTGGAAGAAATTGGGCAGGGGACGGTGTCGTATCAATTGCGCAGCGAACGGTGCCCTATGCGTTGAAAGAAACTACCGGAGGGAAATAACAAACTCACTGTCAATTGTATCCGTTAGTAATTAGGAATTTGTCTTATATTACGAAATCAGTTCTATTAGGTAATTATTTGTGTATGTTGGAAGAATTATTACCTCTCTTTTACATTTTAAACAAAATATATATCTATCTATATATATATATATATATATATATATATATATATATATATATATATATATATATATATATATATATATTTCAATTAATGCAACAGAAGCCCCATTTTTTTTATTAATTAGCCCACTCAAAATTCAAATTAATGAAAAAAAAATGTCAAATTTTATTAATTAGCCCACCCAAAATCCAAATTAATGCAAAAAAAAAAAAAAAAAAAAAAAAAACTCTAAAATTTGTTTTTTTTTCCCTTTTTTTCGTTTCTTCTTTTCCTATTTTCTGATTTTATCATAAAAAAATCCTAAAAAATCAGGGCACTGCTCTTGAACTCCCAAAAATTTAAGTCCACCATGTACCAAATTCCTGGATTCGCCACTAAACGGATAATAAATTTTTAACCGACTTATTGGATTGGGTCGAAAATTTAGACCAACCCATTTATAATGGGTCCGTTGATGGTTCCTAATATTATAAAAATTCGGTTGCCGGATAATTATCGGCCAATTAATTATATTAATAATTTTCTGTTAAAAAAATATAAAATAAAGGATGTGGTCTTTTAAGTGGGTATGAAATTATCAAAAGAGTTGGGAATACTAACTTAGGATTTTAAATTAAACAGAAAAATAAACAAGGAAAAAAAGTTAGACATAAATCTTCCACCATAAATTGGGAATGTGCATATTTGGAATTAGTTTGAATTGCAGAATCATATTTTGTTGTCAAATTCCTATTAATTATTTTGATATGATAAATGATCATGGCTAGTACTACAAGAAATATTGTGTTTGACAACGAAATATTTTGTTGTTGAAAGGGTAAACTTCGTTGCCAATACAATTCGATTGAAATATTGGGAAAACTAAAAATATCATAAATGAAAAATAAAGTTTGACCTAGACGACGATTAAAATACAATCAAATAATATTTCATAATTCAACGTATTTCAGGAGTTGTGATCAAAAGAAAATATTAATGGGAAAGAAAAAGAAACCTTGTATATCAAAAGTTATTTATACAATTAAGTATTGTATTAAATATTAGTTAAATTACTTATTGTCCTTTGAATCCTATGACACCAAAATATATACACACAAGAATAGTTTTGTCTCTACATATATAGAATGAAAGAAACCTTTCTCACATATTAAATTTCTCATTATATTTTGTCAAGTTATGTATTTCCTTTTATTTGTTCGCAATAAAATTACGGAAAAGAAAGAAAAATGAATAATATGCAATTAAACTTACCATTAACAAAAACTTAAACTTGAACTTATCAAGAAATATATAGTATATACATATAGCTTGATAGGGCCCAGTTTGTCAACCTAGCCAATTGTAATGGGCCTAGGAGCGAGAAGAGCAGCCCACAGAGAGATTGGGCCAATTGGGACGAACTGCGTAATAACTAAGCCCAAATACCGAACAAAGCTCAGCTCATAAGTTAAACATATGGTTTTCTCTCCAAGGCGCTCAAACAGGGCCCAGTGGAATTGGATGTGGGCTAGAAAACAAGGCTCAAGCAAGTTAATGGGCGACTGAAGCCTCCGTGATTAAGGCCGCATAAATTGCAAGAGGGCGCGACTTATGCACGAGAAGAAGATGGAGAATCAATCAGATCTTCTATATAAGGCCCAAAATCAATCCCAAAGAAGAAGGACGGGAGTAATGGGCGATATATGTTCCCTTGATTGCCGAGAAACAATTTTCTTATAAAAACCTTTGTAGCCATCGTCCTAAGGACACAGAAAAAATACACACAAGAATAAATAAAGAGAAAAAGAGAATAAAAAGAAGGGACAAATAAATATTTTTATTTTAGTAGAATTTCTACCGGGAAATCCATAACCAGGGTCCCGGTGAAAGATTCTTGAGGGTGCGAACTTTCGACACCTTCAATTGGCGCCGTCTGTGGGAAAGCAGCGAGTCGGAACTAAGGCGTGAGTAACATCATGAAGGGAGAAGGCATCACGAAACGGTTAGAAACCGAATTAGGTACTAAAACTCCTCCCACCGAAAATACAAGAGACATCATGGATGTGTCCCCACAGGAGATCCTCCCGAATAATACATCTGTAGGCGAAATGTCCGATCTGAACAAGCCGAGTAACAAGGAGGCTCACGGGGATAAAACTAAAGAAACCACTCAAAATCTCATGGATCTGTTAGACCAACAAATCGCTTTGGGCGTAGAACAACGGAGACTAGCAATACACAAAGAAGAAATCCATAAGCTTGAAGGCGAACTAAAGGAGGCTCGAGAATGCGAAAAGAAAGAAGCGTCGGCCGCAGAGAAAAATGCGAGGGAAGAAGAATATTTATCAACCCAGATCGCTGCTCAAAAAGAAAGCATCCGGAAGCTTGAGCAGGAACGAGAAAATGGCGTCCTTCGAATGGAAGGTATGAAGAAAGAGCTCGCTCAGTTACGAGAATGACGGACACATACCCGGAGAGGGCCTCCGTCTAGCGTGCCACGAGAAGGGCGAATACACGTAGATCTCTCGGAAGGAAGAGGAGACAGCTTCAGTTCCATGGATTAAGAAGATGCGACTAAAGAAAGAAGAAACGCTAGGGAAGTAGGGCAACACCATGTTAATTGACTGATTGATATCATAGAAGCCGGACCGTTCGCGTGGAATATCTTGCAAGATCCGTTGCCATCCACATTCACCCCTGTAGGTTTTTTTTATGACGGGATAGGCGATCCTTTGGATCACCTGTACCGATTCAAAAGTATAGCAACACTGCATCTGTATACGGATGGAATACGATGCCGCGTATTCACCACCACGCTAATAAAGAATGCCCAACTTTGGTTCAACAGCCTGCCCAGAGAGTCCATCACCTCATTCGAAGATTTTAGCACGAAATTTCTGCGCAACTTCTCAAGTTCAAAAAAACAGCAGAAAACGACGATGGTGCTATTCAGACTTAAGCAAAGAGAAGGGGAAGATCTGCGCGAATACGTGAAGCGTTTCTCCGCAGAGAAGCTAGAAATCCCTGTGACGCCTCCAGAAATCCTCGTCAGCGCTTTCATCCAGGGATTGCAAGATGGAGATTTCTTCCGATCATTAGCCAAAAGAAACGCCTCGACCTTCGCAGAATTGTTGGAACGCGCAGAAAAATACATCAATTTGGAAGAATGTCGCAAGATGAAAGATGGGGAACGTAATAGAGATATGGGAAGCGGCGACAAACGCATTGCGCGGGCTCCACACAGAGGCAACGAACAATTTCGAAATAATGTCCGTTCACTAATGGAAATACAGGAAGAACAGCCGGAGGCACGTTACTCCCCTAGTGCGAGAAGGAGCAACCAGTTTCCTGCGTCAGGAGGACCCAGATTCAAGATAGGAGATCCACGCTTCGACAGATATACGGAGCTCGTTCTACCCAAATCTGTTATTCTCGAGCGTATAGCCAAACACCCCAAACTACGATGGCCAAGAGGGCATAGCAAACCACCAAGGGGAACAGCGGTCGCGAGCGGATATTGTCACTTCCATAATGATTATGGTCATGATACCAATGAGTGCTTCACCTTGCGAGACGAATTAGAAAGGTTGGTGCGATTAGGAGCTCTGTCAGAATATGTCATGGAAGAAAAAAGAGGGGATAGCGAGAAAAGGCGAAGAGATGGAGAAGATGAGGCATAACCCATAACAAAAAGAGGGTTCATCAGTATGATCATTGGCGGCCCGACAGACGGAGATTCAAACCGAGCGCGACGTTACCGTCTTCAAACCATCAAGAAAGCCGAAATAAACCAAATTAGCGTCAAGGCTGAAGCTCATCCTATTATTTCCTTCGGACCTCACGATTGCTGCGCCCTAGACACACCGCATGCAGATGCACTAGTAATAACCTCTAACGTTGCTGGTTATGATGTCTCGAGGGTTTTCGTGGATAATGGCAGCTCGGTGAATGTTCTATTTTATGATTGCCTACAGCGCATGGACCTCGAGGTGGACGTCACACCAGTATCCACAATGTTATATGGTTTCAATGGAGGATCAGTTCGTCCGTTGGGTCAAGTGAAACTTACGGTGTCTCTAGGAATGGCCCCGCTCGTGAAAATCAAAGCGGCTAATTTTATGGTAGTAGATGCGCCAAAATCCTCATATAATATGATCTTCGGGAGGACCTTGATTAATACCTTCCGGGCAGTACCTTCAACATACCACATGAAGATGAAATTCCCGGTAGGGAATGAAGTCGGAGAGGTCGTTGGAGATCAAACAAGTTCGCGATCATGTTACGTGGAATCAGTTCGTCAGGGGGAAAAAGAGAAAAAGGGGTAGAGAATCGCAAGGCGGAACTTTAGATGGAAAGAAAGTGCGAACCAACACAGCGGAGGCAACGTTGACCCACACTAGCACCAGCGAAGAACTTATAGAGGTCGAAGTCATACCTGATCGCCCAGAATGCATCACACGAATAGGGTCTAGTTTGGATGGAGAAATAAAGGAGCAGCTGATTGGTTTGTTGCGAGATAATTCGGACGTATTCGCATGGAAATCTGAAGACCTCACTGGAATAGACCCAAGCATCATGGTCCACAAGCTGCACATTAACACAAAGGTTCGACCAGTGAAGCAAAAGAAGAGGCATTTCGGAGCTATCAAAGATGCTATCATCAAAGAGGAGGTGGACAAACTCCTACAAATCGGACACATACGCGAAATCCAATTCCCTGAATGGCTTTCAAACGTTGTTCTAGTAGCTAAGCCAGGCGGTAAATGGCGTATGTGCATAGATTTTCGGGACCTCAACGCCGCATGTCCTAAAGATCACTATCCGCTCCCCAGGATAGATCAGCTGGTAGACGCTACAGCAGGATGCGAATTATTGAGCATGATGGATGCATCGCAAGGATATCACCAAGTCAGACTCGACGTCATAGATCAACCTAAGGTTAGTTTTATCACATCGGGAGGCACATACTGTTATCAAGTTATGCCATTTGGTTTAAAAAATGCGGGGGCGACATACCAAAGGCTAGTAGACAAAGTGTTTGCTAAGCAATTAGGGCGAAATCTAGAGGTGTATGTAGATGACATGCTGGTGAAAAGTCGCAAAGCTACATCACACATAGATGACCTCGCAGAAACCTTCTTAACACTGCGGAGATATGGCATGAAGCTGAACCCTGCTAAATGCTCTTTCGGAGTCTGCACCGGAAAATTCCTGGGATATATGGTCACTAAACAGGGCATAGAAGTTAACCCGGAAAAAGTGAAGGCGATCACGGCAATGACTGCCCCAAGGACAATCAAAGAAGTACAAACGCTGGCGGGGAAAGTCGTAGCTCTCAGTCGGTTTGTATCACGACTCGCCGAACATAGTTTTCCTATTTTTCGAGCGTTACGAAAGGGGAAAGAGTTCACCTGGACGAAGGAATGCCAAACCTCCTTCGAGAATCTGAAACAGGTCCTTTAAAAACTCCCTTCGCTATCTCCCCCAGAAGAAGGAGAAACTCTCTGCATGTACCTAGCCGCGGGGAATGAATCCATCAGCTCAGTATTGTTCAGAGAGAAAGACAAAAAATAGTTGCCCGTATATTATGTAAGTAAAATCTTACATGGCGCCGAACTTCGCTATCCCGAGGTCGAAAAGGTTGGTCTGGCACTCATCACAACAGCAAGGCGATTAAGGCCATACTTTCTATCCCATACTATAATAGTAAGAACCAGCTATCCTCTACGACAGACGTTGGGGAACGCCGAAGCATCTGGGCGCATGGTCAAATGGGCCGTGGAATTGGGCCAGTACAATGTCGAATACGAGCCCCGGACCGCAATAAAAGGGCAGGCGCTGGTGGATTTTCTACAGGAAACTACGCGCATTGAGAACTCACAGCCATGGGAAGTATATGTGGACGGATCCTCCACAAATCAAGGCGCATGAGCAGGTGTGTTGCTTATAAAGCCCAACAAAGAAGAGTTCCACTTCGCTATAAAGTTCAATGTTAGAGCATCGAATAACGAAGCCGAGTACGAGGCCATGGCGCAAGGACTAGAGATAGCACAAAAAATGTGAATAAAAAAAGCCAAAGTTCACTCCGACTCTCAATTAGTCGTGCAACAACTAGCGGGGGAATATGAGATCAAAGAAGTACGAATGGAAGCATATGTGAAAGTTATCAAAACATTGGTCGAAGGCTTTGAAGAGTGCGAAATCATCCAGATCCCGCGAGAATCAAACACACAAGCTGATTTCTTGTCCAAAATTGGCAGTTCGTCCATGGACTGCAGCGAGCGGAATATAACCATATTATCAGCTAACGGACGTTTCTTAGGAAGTAATGGTGAAAAACTTGTTGCAAAGGTAGAAGATCAGGAAGATTGGCGGACACCAATCATTACTTATCTTAAAGGGAATACAATCTCAGACCGCCGCACGCGAGAACGAATGGAATACAAGGCCCGGCACTTCTATTTAATAGGCGAAACCCTGTTTAAGAGATTGTACTCGCATGTAGATGCCAGATGTCTAGGAAGCAGCGAAGCTGAGTATGTGCTGAAAGAAGTACATGAAGGATGGTGTAGCAACCACGAAGGGGCGAGAACAATAGTACAAAAGCTATTGAGGGCGGGATACTACTGGCCCACAATGAAGATGGAAGCCACGCAATATGTAAGACGATGCCCTAATTGCCAAGCACACGCCATCGTAACCCATGAAAATCATATCGTCACCGTGCCCTTTCGCGCAATGGGGGATCGATCTGGTGGGCCCCTTTACCATGGCTATTCGCAGAAAGAGGTACCTGATCGTAGCCGTAGACTATTTTACAAAATGGGTAGAGGCCGAGGCATTATCGCGAATCACTGAAGATGAAGTAATGAAATTTATTTGGAAAAACATTTGTTGCCGGTTCGGAGTCCCTAGAATTATTATATCGGATAATGGCACGCAGTTCAATGGTAAAAAGATAACGGAATGGTGCACAGAGATGAAGGTCGCCCAACGCTTCACATCTGTGGCACACCCACAAGCAAACGGGCAAGTCGAAGTAATCAACAGAATCTTGGTGGACGGCATAAAGAAACGCATGGAAAAGGCAGGCGGTAGTTGGGTAGAAGAATTAGACTCGGTTCTATGGTCTTATCGGACATCACCTAAAAGGGCTACCGGAGAGACACCTTTCAGTTTAGTTTATGGGATGGAAGCGATTGTGCCTGCCGAGATAGGCCTGGAATCGTTAAGGGTTCGCGAATATGATGACAAAGAGAATGAAGAAATGATGCGAGAACATTTAGATATTTGCTACGAAAAGAGAGAAGCAGCAAACTTGAAGATGAGAGATAGCAAAAATCGCATCAAAGTCAGCTACGATCGAAGAGTCAATCCGAGAAGTTTTCAAGTAGGCGATCTCGTACTGCGGCGAGCCGATGCACTGAAACCCACGGGTAAGTTAGAGGCTAATTGGGAAGGTCCCTACACAGTAACGAAGGTCGCAGCGAGTGGTGCCTAAGAGCTACAAGATCGAAAAGGCAAAAAAATACCAAGAAAATGGAATGTATGCCACCTTAGGAAGTTCTACGCATAACAAGTCTCAATTACAGGTTAGTAAAAAAAAAAAAAAAAAAATGTAATTCTCCTCAATAAGTGAATCTTTTCGCACATGGGCCTCGGCCCCGTGGTTTTTTCCTCTCACTTCGAGAGGTTTCCACGTAAAAAAAATCTTGCGTGTGTCTCTTTTTGTTTTATTGCAAAAAAAAAAAAAAAAAAAAAAAGGGGGTTGGAAGATCCCCGTGGCTATGGCCCAAAAGGTAGTCGCGAACATATATAAAGGGTTGGAAGATCCCCGTGGCTATGGCCCAAAAGGTAGTCGCGAACATATAGAAAGGGTTGGAAGATTCCCGTGGCTATGGCCCAAAAAGTAGTCGCGAACATATAAAAAGGGTTGGAAGATCCCCGTGGCTATGGCCCAAAAGGTAGTCGCGAACAAATATAAAGGGTTGGAAGATCCCCGTGGCTAAGGCCCAAAAGGTAGTCGCAAAACATACAAACAGGGTTGGAAGATCCCCATGGCTCCGGCCCGAAAGGCAGATGCGAGCATATATAAAGGGGTAGAAGAGTTCACGTGGTTTTTGACCCGAAAGGTAGCAGTGATAGTTCGCGCGGTTTTTTGACCTGGAGAGATCAGCCGTTTCGTACGAGCCAGCCCATCAACATACATAACGACAAGCCATACTAACATAAACAAATCGTAAGGTATAAAAACACATCTCATAAACTAGCAAAAATAGCATAGATAAAATATTAGTTTAAAAAAAAAAAAAAAAAAAAAAAAAAAAAAAAAAAAAAGAACACAGAATGTTTAAACTCCCACAGATTTTAAGGGAAACTACCCTAATCTATGCGAGTGACCCTTCGGCAAGATCATCTGGAGCCGCACCACCTTCATCATCAGCAGGGTTATAAGCGTCAACAGCATCTCCCAGAGCATCCTCTTCAGTATCTCTTCCAACAACCGCCGCCGCCGAAGGACCAGCTTGGTCGGATGGGCGAGGACATAGTTGGTTCGCAACGGACGAAAAGATTGGCGTCCACCAAGCTAAGTTCGCAGGCTCAGAAGGATCTCCTCCCCAACCGGGAATGTTCTGACTGGCTTTCTTTGACATCTCTCTTTCGTCTAGCTTCAGCGAGAACCCCGCAGCATCGATCTCCGCTTGTGCAACCCGAATCCCTTCTGACCAGAAGAATTTGGAAACGGGAAGAGCCCTCCTGAAGAAAAGCATGGATTTCCGAAGTCTCGCCAGAAAAGCCTTCACAAACTCGTCCCTAAATCGCTCTCCAAGAGGAGTATGAAGGAACTCCATCCGACCCAAGCAACGACCCTCTTCATATCGCAGAGAACTGTTGTCCATGGCTTCAGATAGTTGGCTAAGAGTTTGCTTATGCTCCTCCTCCATCAAAGCCATCTTATCTTTAAGCGAGTCGACCTCCACGCGCAAGTTGCTCAGGTCTTCTTCCAACCTTTCGTTCCGCTTCTCCACCAGTTGTTTCTCGTCATTCCACTGCTTGCGATCTTTCTTCAACCGGTTATATGTGTTGAGGATCGTGCATGTATACGCAGCGGAATTTAAAAATTTTACATCGAACTAGTTTCGATTACATGCATAACTAATCACATAGTCAACGTACCTTAACGCTTCCGCCATACATATGGTAATTTTCGATTTAATTGAAAAATACATAAAACCGAAAATCACGAAACATGCTTATTCTTAATTTCACAAAATCGAAACATGTAATCACGTATTACTCATGCTTGCAAATAAATAATCATACAAACATGTTCGAATCGAATTATGAAAGTTCCGATTTAATTACCTCTTGTAGCGTGCGATTTCGACGAATCGAAATCCTAGAACGAGTCACGTACAAGCTGCTAATTTACCAATCCACGGGGCAGCAACTCACGGCTGGACCAATCTGATCCAGCAGGCGACGAACGGCGGTGAACGGCAGCAGCAGCGGCGGCGTGTGGCAGCAGCAGCGGCGGCGCGTGAGCGGCGTATCGGCGCGTGCGGCGGTGCGTGGATTCGTCGGGGCAGCAGCTCCTCTCCAATTAGGTTTCACCTCGTATTTTCGACCCACTCGAACTACAGCACTAGATGTAAACGAGTTAGATAACAACACGAATAAAACGAAGGAGAAAGAAGAGGAAACCGGCGGTGTTTCCGGCGGTGGTCGGCGGTGGCGCGCCGGGGCAGCAACGGCCGAAGAGGGGAGCGGCTAGGGCTTGAGCGGCTATGGTTTTGTGCTGAAAAATCTGATCTCAAAACTCCTTTTGAGGTCTATTTATACTTAGGGTTTTAAACCCTAGTGGGCTTAAGTCATTGGGCTTGACCACTGATGCATTAAGCCCATTCCCTCGTCGGCCTCGTTTCTAATAAACGATCGTCCACAAAATTATAACAAAATTATATTTGTGACGAGCTCAAAGTCCTCGTCAATACGAGTGCCTCTTCGAAATTTCCAATTTCCAAAATTGGAAACTTCCACTTCAGTGGACTTGCTAAATCGGGAAACTTCCCAATTTAGAAAGTTCACTAAATTCCGCATGTCTCTCTTTCTCTACGTTTATTCCAATTCGCAATCCACAATTACGAATCTTGGATTCAATCATATTGACATCCAATCGTTCAAAGATTAACACATTAATCTATGCTTGTTGTTATCAAGGATCTATATTACACGAGAAGTGTGACCCTCAATGGTTCAGGTGTATGCTAGCCGTGGGCTCACAACTCTTTGTGATTCGAACAACACATTGTTCTTATACGAACTCCTCCCAAGAGTCCCGATTAGAGTAAAACTCATTTTACCTAATCCCGATCAAATGGGTGCCCAACGAATCAAGACTGGCGTCTAGCAACTACGCATCATGATTCCCTAGATACAAATGAAGTGCCTGCAAGAACCTTATGATATAGTTAGCGTACAGTACGATCCCTTCGTAGCACATGTCCCGATTGAACTAGAGGCATTGGTTCACCGAGACCTCTTATAAAGTTCAATAACCGTGCGAACGTTCTAGGTATTATAAATCCGTTCGTGTGCGACTTAGGGAAACACATTTCCCTAATCACCCCACTATCAACTCTGGCCAGAGATTCCATGGATTATAAACCGTCAGAACACACAGGACATCCATGACTACTCAAGCGCTCGAATCCCCTACTACAATGCACAGACTTCACACTAGATTTCGGATTGCACGAACGTTGGCCCTTGGAGCGGTCCGCGGTGGGACTCAGGGACAGGTCACGATACAATCGGTCCTCTAGTGAAGTCACGGTGATGTCTGGGTCTTAAGGACTAATGGTGTACAACTATATCTTAGAAACCTATTACTCGATGAATGAGAACCACTTATAGATTTCTAGGGCGAGGGAGTTCAGTGAACTCATCCAGTATGAGCACCCACTCAAGTATGCCGATGTCACAACATCGAGGACTGATGAGACGCAGTACACATACACTAAGTGCTAGTCTCAAAAGGGAAAGGCCGGTATCCTCATTATTGGCGTAACCCATCGACTAGGAACAAGGTTTAACAGTTACATTACATTGCTGAGTTATCTCACGATTCTACTAGATCAACTCACAGTAATAGAGTAACTCGTTAGGACTATATCTATGCTGCTTGCATGGGATAACAGATATAGAATGCCAAATAAGATGTTTTATTATTACGAACGAAAAATGATTGTTTTATTACAAGGAAAAGAGAAAGACCACAGCCACAAGTTGGCTTGCCGGTCACCTACTCTAACAATCTCCCACTTGACCTAAAGCCAACTACTCATAAATCTAAGTCCCATCGACTCTCGATTTTTCTCGTGGACTGATCCTGACAATGGCTTGGTGAAGGGATCTGCAATATTGTCCTCCGAGGTGACTCTGTCTAGCTTGACTTCACCTCTCTCTATGATCTCTCGGATCACATGGTATTTTCTCAACACGTGCTTCGACTTCTGATGAGCTCTTGGTTCCTTAGCTTGCGCTACGGCTCCGTTGTTATCGCAGTACAGCCGTACTGGATCGCTAGCGTTCGGAAACACACCCAACTCTTGGATGAATTTCCTAATCCATGACCCTTCCTTTGAAGCATCTGATGCTGCAATATATTCAGCCTCGGTGGTGGAATCAGCCGTCGTGCCTTGTTTGGAACTCTTCCAACACACGGCACCTCCGTTGACTTTGAATATATACCCCGAGTTTGACTTCGAGTCATCCACGTCCGATTGGAAACTAGAATCCGTGAAGCCTTCTATTTTCAACTCGGTATCCCCATAGACCAAAAACAAATCTCGAGTTCTTCGCAAGTACTTGAGAATGTCCTTCACAGCCTTCCAATGGGCTGGCCCGGGGTCGGACTGATATCTGCTTGTGACGCTCACAGCATACGCAATATCAGGTCGTGTACACAGCATGCCATACATTATGCTTCCTATAGCGGATGCATAAGGTGTCCTTTTCATCTCCTCGATTTCCATTTGCGTTTGAGGACGCATGGATTTCGAGAGACGAACCCCATGGGACATTGGCAAGAATCCCTTCTTGGATTCTTCCATGCTAAACCGTTTAAGAACGGTGTCTATGTACATGGATTGGGACAAGCCAAGCAATCTCCTCGATCTATCTCTATAGATCCGTATTCCTAATACGTAGGATGCTTCTCCCAAATCCTTCATCGAGAAACGTGTGGATAACCATACTTTAGTCGACTGCAACATCCCTACATCATTCCCAATGAGTAGTATGTCATCAACATAAAGTACAAGGAAAGTCACTGCACTCCCACTAACCTTCTTGTAGACACAAGGTTCCTCCGGGTTTTTCACAAATTCAAACTCTTTGATAGTTGTGTCGAACCTTTTGTTCCAACTACGGGATGCTTGTTTCAATCCATAAATGGATCGCTGGAGTTTGCAAACCTTTTGCTCATCTCCAGAAGAT